ACGGGTTGGTACCAGAGGTCCATTACCTTGTTGGAAATCAAGGCTACATAGCAGGCTGATTATCCTCCTCCAGTCCGATTGCACAAGACTCCACACCCTGTGTGTACAGCGCAGAGAAAGCTCCTTGCCTTGTGAGAAATGCGTCTTCGTAACCTACGCCCACTCCTAAGGAGTGGGGAATTGGATCCAAAAGATAGCGTGTAGTTATGAAAGAGATTCCAGAATCCAAATCCTGTTGTTTTAACCAGTTCATTACTGAGCTTTATGAGCTTGCCTCATTATTAGCAGAATAAACAAGGTAGAAGACGATGATTAGACTTATTTTCTTCCCAGATTCCATCTATACTGTTTGATCATCATTGTTTCTGTCATTCATATATACCAAGTGTCTTCACCTAAAGATCACCGAGAACCTTTGGTTGCCTTGGGGTGAGAATTATTATTCACATCTTACAGATGGGTAAGCAACCACAGAAGGAGAACATGCTTTGACTTACCTAAAAGAGTCTCTGAGAGAGTAGGAAATGAATATTCCCACAGCCTTCTTTATAGAGACCTGACTTCACAGTAAATCAATTACATTTCTCTCCATAGTGCATTCGAATACTTCTCCAGGCTCAACTGGTGACAGTGAAAAATCCTCAATAATGAAAATATTTTTAAAACCCAGTTCGTTTATTTGATTTTTTAATTTGTGTTGAAATCAACCTAATGCCAGTACAATGAAGTCACGTTGCCTTGGCAGGTCTAAATATCAGTCGTCTAAAAGGAGGGAGGGAGAGGGCGCCCCAATTTTCAGAACTTACACTTACCATGAGCAGAGAGAAGACTCACATATCTATTTCCTGACCAATTAGGTCATTGGGCAGGAAGTCGCCTTTTCTGAAAAGCCAGTAAGCAGAATCCTTCTACCTTAATTTCCCCGTGAACAGCAATAATGAGCCTTAAACTAGCCCTCACATGGGAATGCTTGAAAATTAACAGACATGAGACCACTGAGTTTTCCAGGTGAAAAAAAAAGTTACAAATTGATAGTAACTAACAGCTTCCTCGCTTCCCTTTCTCCCAGTTCTCTCTCAAGTGATTCCACCACCTAAAACCACCCTTCGGTTGTTTTCCCATACTTGAGACTCTGTTAAGTGAAATAACTTTCTAATCCCAGTCAAATTGTTAAATCTTCAACCAGAGAGGGCCAGCTTTAGGCCAGCTGGTGAGCATGAGTCCAGCTGTGGGCCAGTAGAGCCAGATGAAACACCTTGCCAAGCCAGGCCTGCATAGCTCTCTGGAACCCCTTGCTCTGGGTATCACTGTGCATCAGGAAAGGGGAAGCTGAGTGTGGAGCCAAGGAGCACACAGAGTTGAAATGAATGATAAGATGCTCCCAACATCCCCCTTGAGAGTCTTCCCCAAGATGGGCCTTCAGGCCCTTCCTGGGGGCCCTCCTGGCTGGCAGAGCGGCAGGCTATTCGACATCAGGACCCAGGGAAAGCTAATTGGAGAAGAGGTTACAATTCAGCCTGGTTTCCAACACCGGTTCTATCATTAACCAACCATGTGACCTTGGGATAGTTACTTAGTCTCTCGTAGACTTACTCTGTCAATAGGAACCATATTACCTCTCTCACAGAGCGGTTGTGAGGATATAAAAAGATAGAACGAAGATATGAAACTCAAACAAGACAAAGGGCTCCCTATATAAAGGGCTTACCTAGTGCTTAGCAGATGGTACCTTAAAAATATTCTTTTATTATTAACTTTCAAGGCCTTGTTGTTATTGCACTTGTAGGTGGCTCCGTGTCGGTAGCACTCCTGAAAATTTATCTCCTCCAGCTATCTCACTCAGGGTTTCTTTCGAAAACTTTTCCATGGGCATATGCACTCATGGCCCTTAGGACCTGAACTTGCCTTTCTAAAAACCAGCAAAGCATATGCTACTATTAAGTGCTGTTTAGGAACATAGAATTCTTTCAGTAGTGACTACTGGTCCGATGTGGCTCTGATTTCTGAAAACATCTTCTGGACCTGGGACACTCTTACAGTTTTATTACCAAGAACATTTTTTTTTAGTGCCTCCCTCATTAGCGTCTTCTAATGATTCACCTGTAGCCTTTCCCTGGCAAACTCGAAAACCCAGCCTCTCCTATCACGTAGCAGGCATCTAAGCAACAAGCTTCTAGAGTTTGCTTGAAAAAGGTAAGCCATTAATTTAGCTTAAGCAAGATAGAACTAAGAATATAGATCTGCTAAAACAAATACATCACATGGTTCAATGTTTAGTAAGAATAACTTATTAACTACTTATCTAACCAGTATTTGTTAAGTATCCTGAGTCTCAGACCTTGTGTTAAGTGATTCAGGCGTACTAGCATGAATCAGACATGGATTTGGTCCTCTTGAAATATACACTCGGGGAGAAAAGTAAAGCACACAAGTAGCATACCACAGGACAGAAAATGGCAGTAACATGACAGAGTGAAAGTTTTTAGGGGTTTAGGTATGAGGATCAGGGAAGTGGTATGAAGGATAATGTGTGGACATAGAGGCATTCTAGGTGTAGAGGGGCCATGGAGAAGAAATTGGGGCAAAATCTACATGAAGTGGAATGGAGTGGAGGTTTGTGGAAAGGCAGTGTGGGCATAGGCTGAAGAGCCTTGAATGCCAATCTTGGGACTTTAGAACTCTTTGAAGGCACTTGGGGGCCATACAAGGTCTGTGAGCATGCTGATCATGAATGCAGGGTGGTGTACTTAACTGTGTGCTTAGGGAGGCCAATTGGGCCGGAGAACGGAGGAAGGGCTTTTGTAGGGAAGGACTAACAGTAGCGTGGAGACTAGGTAGAAAGCTATGGTACTCGTCCCAGGTGGAAGCTCATGTGGGTCTGATCTAAGGTTGGGGTAGGAGAGAATGGAGGGTTGGGAAGGAAGCAGGTGAGGGTTTACAGTCAAACCAACAGGGCTTTACAATTTATTGGATGTGAGGAGTATGAGAGAAGAAACTTGAAAATGGAACTCAGGTTTCAAACCAGATTAAATGGAAGGCCAAAGACAGGGACAATGAAAGAGAAGAGCATCTCTGTGGGAAGATATGAGCTTTATTGGAAGATAAGGAATTTATGGTGCTAAAATTCATTATGTCAGGCTTACAGTTCTTGTGATTCAAAACAGAGGACAGGTGCTGAGGCAAGTCGGGCTGAAACAAGGGCTGAGGACTCATCGGTGTGGTGCAGACATTGCCAGCTTAGTGGGAGTGAATCATATCTGATGCACATGCATTCTTACTGTGTGTTTAAAACACATAACTAAACCAACACTTAAAAATCAAGAGATAGTACTTAAAATATTGATGTATGGCTTTTCTTTTAAAAATCAAAACTATGGGGTGACTATGTGGCTAACTATGAATTCAAATTGGCAAAAGATATCAGCAGTCAGAGCTGAACAGGGCTTCCCCCTTGAGGTCCTGGATGGAGTCCCTAATTCACCACAGTTGCCTGGGGTTGGGGCTGGGGCAGGAAAGAAGGGCTGGAGGCTTATGGTTAAGGGTCTGGGGCTTACGTTTGAAGTGAGGAAGTGTCCTAGAGTTTGATTGTGGCGATGATTGAACAATTCTACATATAGTAGATAAAAACCATTGCACTTTAAGTGGGTGGTTTGTATGATGTGTGAATTATCTCAATAGAGCTGTTTTATAAAAATGCAAAAAAAAAATAAAAAAAAAATCAGTTGCTCAAGCCCTGGCCGTGTTGGTGTACTTAAAGCAGAAAACATTTCTCTGTTAATGTGTCTCTATCAAGAAAGGAGTGAGATTTTTAAAAGAAAAATGGAAGAGTGTACATCTATTTTGTGAGAGTAAAGAATATGTGTTACAATGCAAACACCTGGCCTCTGTATTAATTTATTCCCTAGCCACTGAAGGCACTTAGGTATTAGGAAGGGTTTTGGTCATGGCCAGCTCTCTGCAGTCCACCCACTAAGAAAAAGAGGCCAGATTATTGGATGTCAAAGGAGGAAAAGCTTTATCAGCCGCTGACAAGGAGTCAGGGAGGTTGAGGACAGAGAAGTCGGGAAATTGCAAGGCACCATCCAGGGAGAGAGCTTACAATGGTGGGGCCAGAGAGGGCTACAGGCACAGATGACAAAGTATGCTCAGGAATTAGTACTTTATCCTCAGGCACAAAGGGTAAAAGACCAGAATTCCTCCCCTGGCCCAGGCCAAACATGGACAGAGGCGACTAGATATGACAGCAAAGGCTGGCTACTAGAGGATGGAACCTATTAGCCTGCCCGTGAGAAAGAAGAAGAGGAGGCGAGCAGAATAGATGTCAAGAGGCACTGGGAAGCTCTGGAGGTGGAAGACAGCAGCTGAAGTACAACTTGGGGGAAACTAGAGTTTGCTTCAGATCCTTCTCTTTTAGGAATGTCTTAGGTGGTAAAAGAATGTTTCTCTTGGGATAAAAATGTCTAATACAGAGATATGAAATTGTGAGATCTTCCAGATTCCTCTTCCAGGTGTGTGTGTGGGCGGGTTTGGAAGGGGAAAGAAATTTTATATGCATATGCCACCATTTTTTATATTGATAAGGAACACTGAGTTAAAACTCTTATGCCAAAAACATTTTACAGCCCTATTGAACTAAGACCATTTCATAACCAGCTTTTACTCTATATAGTAGCATTTTGCCTTTCTATCATGGATGGTGAGTGGCTTGATTTAGATTTAGCAATGGTTCCAAATTACCTTGCAGTGAGATCTCTTATTGCTGAGTAACTCTGTTACCTTTAGCTTGTAGTGGTCACTTTCCCTGAGGCTAAAGGAAACTCATGCTGGCTTTTATTTTTGGCCTCAAATTATTTAACCCCTCTCCTTCTCTAATTCACCAGCTTCTGTGGTCATGAACTGAGCCTCCTTGTGCTCTAAGCAATGAGCAATGACTGGTCTTCTGTGAAATACCATCACAAGGAATGGCATCAAGGTTATAGCTGTGTTCTGCTCTGTTTCAGGCCCTTCTGGATCCAGCTGTGTGACAGCTGCACTCGGCAACACCTGGAGCCACAGTGTGAACACACGGCTGATTTTCCAAATCCTTGGTTCAGAGAGAAGACAGGTGAGTGCTTTGACATTGTTTGTGATTGTCAAGGTTATGCTATCTATCCTGGCCCAACACAGGGTGTGGGGAAAAACAAAACAAAAAGCACCCCTAACTGTCCCAATAGCAGTAAAATGAAGTGGGGATACAGTCACTTACAGGAAAAAAACTTGTAAGTATAGACCCAAGAGAGTTTGCACGGTGACCTATAGCTTGTAAGTGACCTGATGGTGGCCAATAACTTGTAAGTGACCAACGTACACACCTCTTGGGATCTCAGGTTCTCTCTCAGTAAAGGGTGAATGATCACCCTATTGGTCAAGCACTGGGTCATTCATATACAAATTAAAAGGTGATGGTGCTTTTTCTTGAGATGAACGTGCTTTGAAAACCAGGCAGACCTTGCCGAGTGAATAACTGTTCCCCGAGTCCTGAGTACTTTTGCATCAACTCATAGCCAGTAAGTAGTTTAAAGGACTGGGTGATGCTAGAGAGATCTCTGAAAGGATGCTGCCTCTAAGAGCTCCCTGTTGGTGGCTTCTGTCCTGGCCTCAATTGAGAATTTCCCCCTCACCCAGAAGGGTTCATTTCTACCCCTTCTTCATCTTCCCTCCGCCCCCTAAGAAAGGACCACCACTGTCTGACCTTTTGGAAAGATGCCTTCTAATTAAAACATTTCTTCTTCTGATGGCTAACTTCAGCTTCATCCTGTGTGGACCAGGTTCCACCACCACCTCCTCTGCACACAGGAGGAGAGGGAAGCCAGGGTGATTATTCTGATGTAATGGATGGGTCAGAATGCAGAACGCAGATTTGTCCATTTTGCTAAATATATAACAAATCCAAGTCATTAATTAAAGAGGCATGAAATGGCTGAGGCCGGTTTGGCTCAATGGATAGAGCGTCGGCTTGGGGACTGAAGGGTCCCGGGTTCGATTCCGGTCAAGGGCATGTACCTTGGTTGCGGGCATATCTCCAGTAGGGGGTGTGCAAGAGGCAGCTGATCGATGACTCTCTCTCATCGATGTTTCTAGCTCTCTATCTCTCTCCCTTCCTCTCTGTACAAAATCAATAAAATGTATTAAAAAAAAAAAAAAAAAAAGAGGCATGAAATGTTATGCTTGCTAGTGGCCCTTCCCGGAGGGGGTGGTGGGAAGGGTGTGTGGCCCTTTACCTGCATTTGGTGAACTGGCTCATTTTCAGGGAGTCAGGAATCATCCAAAACAGACGAGAGCCCTTGCCTGTTCCAGACATAGCTTTCTGAGTGCTCTTGGTTACAGACCAGAGGACTCCTCTTGGTTCTCTTGGACTGTGTAAATAGCGTTCCAGCTGAGGACTGAGTCAGCTGTGTTCTGAGGCAATGGAGCTGCTTGTTTTCATTCTGGGGAGCATTCTTGAGTTTTCAGGCCTTGGTGTGCTCCTTGCCTCCATGGGGCCTTTTCTCTGATAACTCAGGTTTCCTGGGTTCTGCATCCATTTCTTTTATTTTCAGTAGAATGCATCCACAATGTTCCTGTAGAACCTAATGACCTTAAGTTTGTACCCAGGTTATAAGTATTGTTAAGTAAACCCTGCTTGCAGCTCTCAGGCATATCTCTAAGGAATGTCAAGCTCTGTTCCTTGTACTCCTTGAGGAAGCAGGGTCCTGTGGGTCAGTGTTGATTCAATCATTTTTACGGATCCTTAACCCCACTCCTTGAAAACTTTTGTACTTTATCTCTATTTTAGATATTAGATGACACACACTGATTTTGTGATTTAGTCTATTATACATGGTATTGTGGGTTCCAGACTCCCATATTCTAGTTTTACTAATTCTAGTTAGTGTTTACCCTATATAATAAAATCCTAATATGCTAAGTGTCTGGTCATTTAGTTGGCCATACAACCAATCAAAGCTTAATAAGCTTATGATATGTTAAGGCCGCTCAACTGCTTGCTATGATGTGCACTGACCACGAGGGGACAGAGGCTCCAACTGGTAGGTTAGCTTGCTGCTGGGGTCCAACCAATCGGGACTGAGCAAAATGAGCCAGACATGCCCTGAAGCCCTCCTGCGATCCCTCCCCAGCCCTGATTGTGCACTGGTGAGGTCCCTTGACTTGGCCTGCACCCTTTCACAATCTGGGATCTCTTAGGGGATGTCAGAGAGCCAGTTTTGGCCCAGCAGTGAAATGACCAGTTGCTATGACATGCACTGACCAACAGGGGGCAGACACTCAGCTCAGGAGCTGCGCCTCAGCACTGCCCCCTGGTAGTCAGTGCGCTCCTACAAGGGGGCGCCACTCAGCCAGAATCCGGGCTTATGGCTGGTGAGTGTAGCAATGGTGGCGGAGCCTCTCCTGCCTCTGGCAGTGCTAAGGATGTCCGACTAACAACTTAGGCCCCTCTCCACAGGCTTAAGCTATCAGTCAGACATCCCCCAAGGGTTCCCAGACTGCGAGAGGGCACAGGCCAGGTTGAGGGACCTCTTGTCCCTGAGTGCACAAATTTCATGCACTAGGCCTCTAGTTAGTAAATAAAGAAGTTAGAGTCACATTTTTTTTTTTCATTTGTTTTACTAAATTAACCAGTCATCTCTATTTTGTTAGTGTCAACAGGAAGTAGATAGTAGAACAAATGCTATTATTCTGTGTCTCTTTGGTGACTGGAACATTTTGGTGGCTGTTGGTTCTTGGTTCATAAGGTCAATTGTAGGCCACTGGTTAGGAAAAGAACCCAGATCAAAGCGTGGATAGATCAGTGACAGCCTACCAGCTCATATCCTATTTAGAGGGGTCTTTGTGTTATCTTAATCTATAAAGGACATCACTAATCAATCATTGCTAATCAATCAAGAGCAGAGTTTAATGTTTTTGAATCATGTTTCAAACAATAATGAAAATTTAAAGTAAAATACGACCAGCATTAAAATGGCCAGCTCAGGCCAAAGAACGTATGCTTAATGAATCTACAGAAATGTGTGTGCCTTTGTCGTTCGTTTGTGGCCTGATAAGTAGGATAAAGTTTAATATAGAAAACACGCCTTGACCTGATGCCCTGATTTCAGCTCACCAGAGGGTGTGCTGAGTGATTCACCGAGCCTTTCCTGTGGTCCTACTTCATGACAAAGTAGAGGAGCCCCGTGAAGACATACCTTTTCTGGGATATGTGCTTTTAAGATGATTGCTCCAGATAATATTTCTTATAACTCCACTTAGTAGGAGGACATGCCTAGATCATTCCATAGAGATGAACACCAGCTCCTATGGAAAGTTACAGGTAGAGCTTTTGTTTTTTATTCTTTTTTATTCTTTTTCTTCCTCTCAATGCTCAAGCAGAAGCCACACGCCAAGGGATCAAGGTTACGGAATGAAGGTTACATTTTATCCCATTTCTATGACATTGAGCTCTGTACCAGGGCTCAAATGTGAGGCTTAGTCTGAGCTCAGAAGCTGGAAGGGGTCAGGGCCAGCTGAGCAGACCAGCGAGCTGATGAACCCAAGTTGGATTGTATAATCCGAGGGCCAGAGTCCTCCCCAGCTGATTATTTTCTTTACACCCTGGAAACGCTGTAGAATTATACAACCAAGGAAGAAATCTCCTTATCAGGGCACAAGCCAAGTTAATTCTCTTGTTTATTCTGCTTCAGTGTTTGTGAAAACGCTCTTGTGAAGCTGGGACGCATTTTCTTTTGGACTAATTTAGCCTTTTTTCCATTTGACTTTTATTTACTCTTTTCCTCCTTGGCTTCAATCCTGCCCCACCCTTTTTGCAACATTTTTATTCTTACTAAAGACATGTCCTTAGAGTTGAATTAAAATGCCCACTGCTGGGCATTTTGTGCTTGCATTTTAGTGGATTTGGTTTTGTTACATAAATAAAAGCATGACTTGGTTCACCACGTGCATGGCAGGGGGATGCAAAGAAGTAGCAGACAGTTCCTGCCTTCAAGTTGCTTCTGGTCTAGTCCGAGAGATGACTGAGATATATAATACACACGCATGCCCACCTGCACGCTCATGAATTATCAAAATGAAGTGCAGGCATTAAAGCACAAACTAGTACTGAGATGCAATCACATGGGTTATTACCTAATACATGGTTAACACTGCTCTGAGTCCCGAGGAAGGTAAACTCAAAAGAGGTACGTTAGTCTTATCAGAAGAAGGTGGGACTTGAGTATCACTTTAAACCTGTGTTTCTGAAGCCTGGGTGTCTGTAGACCCCTCCCAGGAGTAGTTACAAAATACCAGCACCAGGGCCCACCCTGACCAATGCAGTCAGCATCCCTGCCGGTGGGTCCAGGCCTCAGTGTGTGTTTTATTTGTAGCGCTTCCCCAGGTTGGAAACCTGATTTAGATCAAATCGGGTTACTAGGGAAGGAAAGGGAAGAAGTTGGGATGAGGGTGGAGCAAAAGAAGAAAGACAGGAGGTCAAGTCATAGGTTCCCAAGACTTGGGTTGGTTTTTGCCTGAAAATATGAGCATAGGATGTGTGTACCCATTCATTTGAAAAACCTTTATTTAATCATCTCTTCTCTGCTACTTACTGTGCAAGATGCTTGTAAGAGATTCAACGTATAAGTAAGCTGATGCCCTGCAGATATTCTCAGTCAACCTGGGGAAATGATAAACATGTAAACAGTAGGTGCTGCATGCATGCCTTATAGGAGAGGGAGGGCCCTAGCACAGCTGGAGGTCTGTGCTGACAATGGGGCAACAGCATCCACACTGGATTGGCTGAGGCCCACCTTGGGGAGTTCTCATGGTAACCAGGCACCTTGTATTGAGGGACTAAAAAAGCTAGAGCGAGGGTGGTTATACTTGAAAGAAGGATGAAAAAACTTGATGAAATATTCATACTATACCTCATCAAATCTTCATGCAGTCTGTTCCTACAAACACATATGGGATTATATAAAATTTAAGTGCCCTAGAAGGAGTACTGAAGTAAATTAATCCCAACTAAGCTTCACACTCCCTTGATGAAATAAATATTATGACTCTCTTATTTCAACAAATTGGAAAGAGGTGACT